CCACGTAGCCTATTCTGCCCTTAGGTTGGCAGCCTGCCGTCAACAGACTTGTTCTCTGTGGGAGAGGATGATTTCTAAATACTCTTGTTGTGACTTCCTCCCAATCCGACTAGATGTGACATCCGGGCTAGACAGGGTGTTGTTCCCGCCGATCAGAACTTTCATCGTGGGACGTTTTGCTTGGCTGTCCGACTCTCTGAAGGGAAAACCAGTTGGTCTTCCCCTTACAGGTTCTGTTCCCCACTCACAGGCCAGTCACACCCCCGGTTCCCGGGAGTTGATGGAGCCCCAGGCCGGTGGCTGGTGTTCTGTTGGCATTGATGTGAGTAGCTCCCTGACCTTGTGTCCTTCCTCCAAATACAGGAAAGAAAGATGAGGCGTAAGCGGAACCAATAGTACTGAGAAGCAACGAAGATTCTTAGATACCTAGTCTTCATGATTTATTCCTACCTGAGAGGTGTCGTAGTCGCTTGCTCAACTGTACTTGGAAACTTTTATCCTTAATACTTGAGTACCTCCGTCCTTCTTATCTATTTGGGTCACAGGTGAAATGTGACTTTCCCTAAAGGACCGTCCTGAATCAGCCAATTCAAAGTAGCCTTTGACTCTCTGGATCCACTCACCAGCATCGCCCTGTTTTATGTTCTTCAGGGCACATACCACGGTTGAAACTCTCACGGTTTTGTTTGCTTCTTGTCTATCGCACTACAAGGCAAGTTTCCTGAGGAAAGGAACTCTATCTTTTTTTTTTTTCAGTGCTGAAATATAGTCAAATTGTTAAATAAATAATCAATGCCAGGTTCTTCGAAATAGTTCTGTGATCTTTCTTATTTTTATTTCTACTTTCTTTCACACATACGCAAAAAGATGATTATTATATAATTACAGGATATAGGGTTCCGTGATTAGGGTCACAATTTTCATGACGGCTGGTGTCGTGTTATTTTAAAAGCCCATGGTAGTAAATGATAACGTAAGGTAACCCCTCAGCATCCATTTTCCAACAAAAGTTATGGGCCAGTTCCCTTTACGGTATGGAATTAGATCACTTTCTTTTTTCTGTTTATCAACATAGAGATTTTATTATTCTTGACTCCCTCTAAGAGGTAAACTCTGATATAAGAGTGATCGTGATCACTTTTGTTCCCCACTGTATCCATACCTAGCTTGGTTCCTGGAGCAAGGAATCTCTCAACATACGTCAACATGTAAAAATGAAGGATAAGGTAAGAACGCTAACGTTTTGCCTGTGTCCCATTTTCAACTGGGTTTCCTTTTTTTTCTTTAAATTTTTTTCTTTAATGTTTACTTTTGAGAGACAGGGAGAATGGGGGAGGGCCAGACACAGAATTTGAAGCAGGCTCCAGGCTCTGAGCCGTTGGCACAGAGCCCTAAGCGGTGCTCGAACCCACCAACTGTGAGATCATGATCTGAGCTGAAGTTCCACGCTTAACCAGCTGAGCCACCCAGGCACCCCTGGGTTTCTTTTTTTTTTTTTTTTCCCACTTTACTTATTTACTTTGAGAAAGGGAGAGCGCAAATGGGGGAGGGGCAGAGGGAAAGGAGACAGAGAGAATCCCAAGCAAGTTCCACGCTGTCAGCACAGAGCCCAGCGCAGGGCTCCATCTCAGGAGCCGTGAGATCGTGACCTGAGCGGAAATCAAGAGCTGGAAGCTTAGCCGACTGAGCCACCTAGGGGCCCTGGGGTTTCCATTTTTGACCAGAGCCCTGGCCTCACTATTCTGGAGCCTCATTCCTTCCAACACAGGCACTGGATTTCTAGCTTTACCTTCAAAGAAGTCCTGTTGCCTTGGTGGTTCCCCAGGATCTGCCGCCCAAGCCCCATGTTTTTCTCCTTGTCTTCAGGAGCTGAGCTCCAGACCCTGGAGATGACCAGCTTCTCTCATCTTCTTGGGCATCCACATGTTGACTGTTGTTGGGTTTCCCTACAGCAGACAGTTGGCATGCCTATCAGGACGAGCCTACTGCTCACCGCCATGCTCTGTTCCATCAGTTCTGTCTTTGAAAAAATGGATCCTCACTGCAGCTGGTGTGAGCAGTGATTCTTCTAAGAAAATGCGATCTGAGGCCCCTAGCTTTTCCCAGTCATAATGCTGTTTCTTCGCTTGACGTGGGGAGAAGAACTTCTCATTGAAAAGAGTCAGCTACAAATTAAGAGACATACTTTCCTGACATTTAGAAATATGCAACACGTACGAATTGAAGTAGGCAAATAAAACAGTCTAAAATTCATAGGTGATATTATCTAAAGATTTCTTAATGAGATCCCCCCATCCGTAAACTTTTTAAAAACATTACCCGCACTATGTATTTGTCTGTATATTATGTACATAGATATTAATGTGTATCTACATGTATATGAAACCTTACCTAAATGTATACATTTTTTTTTAACATTTATTTATCTTTGAGACAGAGAGACACAGCATGAGCAGGGGAGGGTCAGAGAGAGAGGGAGACACAGAATCAGAAGCAGGCTCCAGGCTCTGAGCTGTCAGCCCAGAGCCCGACGCAGGACTCGAACTCACGGACCACGAGATCATGACCTGAGCCAAAGTCGGACGCCCAACCGACTGAGCCACCCAGGCGCCCCTAAATGTATACATTTTTAAAGGAAGAGCTGAAAATCGAAAAAATAATTTTAGTCCAACAGAAGATCATCTTACATGCTCCTTGTGAAGGCTCAGAGATGCACCAGCCATCCCCCATCGTTTTTTTTTTTTTTTTTTCTGAGGGACGATCACTCAGGAAAGTTCAAGATGCATTTCTTCTCCTGCTCCTTGAAGTCACTATTCACACTTGTGTCACACTGCAGTTTCAGATGCGGTCACCTCTGCAACCCATCAATGGGCAGGGTTATCAGGCATTCAGAGAACCTGACAACTTCTGTGAACACGTATTTTTAGCAGGGTAAAGGAAGGTTAAATTTTGTGGTTGTTTCCATTTGACACACAGAGGAACCCACACAAAATCTGGCTGAGAAGAGAGATAGTTTTCCTGATCTGTAAGATAGTTATCAGAAGGACTGTGGGAAATCAAGGGAGCGATCTGGACTGTGTGTGTATGTGTATATCCGTATGTATATACACATAAATATATATAAAACACGGCTGCCTGGTCATGAGTAAGCAAGCCATGTTTCACTGGCAGCACGTGTTTAATAAAACCTTTGTGCTCGTGCCAAAATCCAGCCTGCCGGTGATGTTCATGGATTGTGTCATCCAACATTATTAGCAAAATGTGTAGTTAACCTAGTGCAAGAATTTTATCACTGCCGTGTATTTGGTACTTGCATATCAGAAAGTTTTTTATGTTCAACCCCTACAAGCTTTTTGAACAGAGAACCTGGATTTTTAAGAGTATGTTTATAGTTAACTAGAATTATTATGCCTCCGTAAATTCAGGGTGGGGAAACAGCCCATGGGCTTCATTTTTAGTTCGTTGGGACAATTGATTGGTATTTCTTTCTTCCTTTTTTTTTTTTTCCCTTCCCAGAAAGGAAAAATGAAACAAAGATCTGTGGGCTTCCCAATCTATCATCCCAGTTCAGAAACGTGTCATTTTTCTCCTTGACCAAAATGCCTCCCGGCTGCCCATTTCTGTCCTAAGCCCAAACAGACCCCAAATAGTTTTGTTCAGTGATAGGAAGACATCCCCAGTCTGACAGTCTGGGTTTGGTGTTCTGCTAAATGCTCAGGATGGCATGAAATAGCCAGTGAGAAACGAAAATTCCCCAGGGACAACACAAGGGAATATTCTAGAATCTGGGGTCCCAACTGCAAAGGAATAAGATACTAGATCCACAGGACGTGTGCTTTGTCAGGCTGCATGTCTTTGCAATCGCCCTCTGTGGTACAATCACTAAGGCAAGATTTCATTTCCCCCTAAACACTGAGCATATAATAATGGCTTTCAAAAGCTCACAACATGAGTCTATGATGTTGAAAGACCAGTAAATTACCATTGATAATTCAAGAGAGATGGGATGTAGCAAGTACAACTTTAAAGGATTTTGACTTTGAACATGGCTCCCAGGAGGCTACAATTTTGACCATGGCTTTCCTTTCTCTACCGCACCACCGCCGTCCTACGTGGTTGCGAGACTGAACGAGTAATATTTGTGGCCATTGGTCAATCGTAACATTTTTATCCTTCTAGGCATTCAAGGATGAGGTTAAGTAAATGTGTTAGCCTTCCTTCCTCAAAGATGTACACTTAAAATCATTCGGAAGAGCGAAAGTCTACATGAGCAAGGTAGGCAACATTTGAACTTGATTTTGTCTAAGAAACAAACAAATAAACAAACAAACAAACAAACAAAAAGATCGCATCATCAAGTAAGCTTGGAACCTAGCCAGAGCAACCAATTATAAACTTACCTGAAAATATATCCTTCCTTTCAAAATCACCTAATCATGTAGAAACACTGAACATCAGAGTTGCTGAAATAAATATTTTTATCTATGTATTCATAGTCCACTGTTTGTTATTTGATTCCATAAGTTATTTAAAAGAAAATGTTTTTTTTTTAAATTTTTTAAACTTTATTCATTTTTGAGAGACAGAGAGAGACAGAGCATGAGCAGGATAGGGGCAGAGAGAGAGGGAGACACGGAATCCGAAGCAGGCTCCAGGCTCCGAGCTGTCAGCACAGAGCCTGACGCGGGGCTCGAACTCACGAATGGCGAGATCATGACCTGAGCCGAATCAGATGCTCAACCGACTGAGCCATCCAGGCGCCCCTAAAAGAAAATGTTTTTAAAATAGTATCATCCATTTTATCTGTATCTTATAATATATTTTAAAAATTTTTTAATGTTTTATTTATTTTTAAGAGAGAGAGATAGAGCATGAGCAGGAGTGGGGCAGTGAGAGAGGGAAACACAGAATCCAAAGCAGGCTCCAGGCTCTGACCTGTCAGCCCAGGGCTCAACACGAGAACTGAGAGATCATGACCTTGGCCAAAGCTGGATGCTGAAATGACTGAGCCATCCAGGCGCCCCCATTCTATCTGTATTTTAGATCATTCCTTAAGAGAGACACCTACAAGTGTAATTACTTGGCCAAGGGGAATGGGGAGTTTTAAGTCTCTTGGTTAATAATGCTAAATTGCTTTTGACAAAAACAAAGTAATTTCAGAAGTAAGAATTATTTCATATAAGAGGCTGAATACAAAATATTCAAAATATTTGAATAAATGACCTTACTCTCTAGAGCTTTGGCTAATAAATAAAGGGGCAAAAGGAGGTTTAGGATGAAAGAAGGAAGGAAACTGGAAATGTTTGGGTTTCTGAAGCATTTACATTAATCAACTCACCTTGCAATGAATGGCTGTGTTCATAAGGCACAATGTATCTGCTTAGCAGTTAAAATAGCCAATCATGTAGCATAGTCAAATTATTTGTCTTCGTGTTACTCGATCACGCATTTTTAGTGAAAATATTTTGGGCAAATTCTCAGCTCTCAATCAGTATTTTTGACCTTTTAATGATGAAGAATATGAGAATTTAAGGCTATTGATTCCCCTAGAAAATGCACATACACACAAAGCTTTGCATCTATTATCAGATACCCACATATCCCCCAAGATATGCTTTGTGCAGTTCCTTTAGGCAGTAGTGGCTTTTGATTAAGAAACCATAAAAATATTATCAGCCCATCCTCAAAACCCTTCAGTAGGAAACTGATGGTGACCACATTTAAACGTTGCATCTGAGTATCTTTCCATTGACAAAATCAGCAAATGCTACCACTTGGAAAAAGTGATAGCAACATTTGGTTGAGTGGGTCTACACATTCTGGGGACACAGATTTCTTTGAGACCTTGATGAACACAATGGAACTTTCTCCTGGGGAGAATTGCTGATACACACGATGAGCCACAACCTTAAAATAGAATTGCTGAATTCCAGTGATGAGTTCAAGGACCTTCTAAATTTTCTCCTCAGAGTCCAAAGAGTCCAGGCTCGAGGCCTTGAGTTTCATTCCCGACACCACTTCAGTTGTACAGGTGAGGAAAGGCAAGTATGGAGCGGTTAAAAGATTTATCCTTACTCCTAAAAGGAGTCGCTAGCAATGTTAGAATTACAATCTATATTTTTGATGCCCCCAGCTGATGCCATTTTAGACCAATTTTACATATCAGAAAATTGAAATTCAAAGGGGGAAAATTACTTACTTTAATCATGTACTGTATGATAAACCAAAAGCAAGGGAGTGATTATACCTCTAGCCTCTGGAGCTTATAGATGGCGTCCTCTCTTCGCCAAGATGATAAATTTGTGTTTGGAATATACATTTGGGAATAGATCAGTTAACCGCAGATGATCAAGTTCTTTAACTTGATCAAATAATGCATTTTTACAGAAATACATTGTGATGGACCATACGAACTCCACACTTAAGAGCTAAACAGGTGTATTTGCATACGTAGACAATTCCCTGTACAGGTGTGGATGTTAGCTTCTCTGTACGTTACCCAATTTGCATTGGCAAATATGAACAGACTTGTCATTGATAGCTTTCCCTTCTGTACTTGAAAATTTGACCCTTCCAGTTCCAAAATATACAATAATCACCTTGTTTAATTTTTGAGTGTGTAATGTCTACAACCAGCAAAGTTCTCTAAGTAAATTGAACGCCTATTTTGGTTATCCCCTAGGACCACTAATTTGGAAAGAAAAAAAAAAAAGCATATAAAATGGAGACGTAAAAATATCCCAATTTGGTGGCGTCTTTTACATATCCTGGTTTCCAATTTGGTGACCCTACAATGAGATGCCACAACTCGTCTGGAATTTCACCGTCTTGAAGCCAATATGTCAATAAATATGTAGACACACAGATCCACAGACCATCCCCTGCCAGCTGTTAAATCATACCATTGCTCTCAAAATCATCAGAGGCAATTTAATCAAACGGTAGTTGGCCATTGGGCAATTCTTTTCCAGGCCTTTAGAAAAATACAGGTCAGTGCTTATTAAAGGAGTATCTTCTTGTATGGTGATTGCTCTCTTAATTTCGTATTCATAATCCCTGGTTCTGTCTTTCAAGAAAAGGCTGAATCCCAGCCTACTGAATCAGTACACGGAGGGATAAATTAAAACTTGGAACTATGTTAGGGGCCTCCAGGGTTGGGACTTCAGGAAAGTCAGGGCAGGGAGCAGAGAGGTCCTCCGTAACTGAGCTAGGTTCCTTCTTCTTTCCTGCTAGCTATATTTAAGGGGTCTATTTTCTTAAATACCCACTTCCTGTCACTCATGCTATGGAAACTGTGACACTTCCTCCACTCAAGATGACTTTTGCATCCATTTCAGAACTTGAAATAGAATGGAAAAGTACTTCTCAGGACTCTATCAATCGTCCTGCTGCTGGACACAAAAAAAAAAAAAAAAAAAAAAAAAAGAAGGAAAGGCTTAAGTACAAGGAATGACTCTTTAGTTCAGTTTAAAATCAGCTCATGCTGCTATGAATGAACTAAACTGGCCACGAGTATGTTTCAGCGATCATATGCTTCTTTCTACAGAGCTCATCCAAGCCTACCTCGAATTGACCCTAAATAAGTGGGCAGACAGGACAACGGACTACTGATGAGGAGGAATACGACTTTGGCGATCATGTCTTGCTTGACCAGATTGTGTGATCTTCGGTGAAGCTTTTGTTGTACATAGAAAGGAGAGAAAGAAGATACTCTTTCCTTTTGCACGTAGAGGTACATGTCACCATACATCAGACGTCTAGCTCTCTAGGCTTAGACCAATAATGGAAAGGGAAAAGTCAGGGAAGCGAAACAGCCAAGGTTTGAATCCTAGCAATGTGATGATCCTGAGTAAATAGTTTTTCCTCGATGAGCATAAGTGAACTCGTTTGTAAAATGGAGCCAGTGGGGCCCCCACACGCTAGATATTCAGTCAATGATACCCATTATCCTTGAAGATTAGGAGGCCTTTTTTTTTTTCTATTTTCATATAAACTTGGGATATATTACAGCCTGGAGTTTGGCAGAACTGAGATAACAGACTTAAGTCCCAAATACAAGAGAGAACCAAAGTGCTTCCAAAAGATTTGAGAGTTGCCATTACTACGTATCCCCATCCGCATCCCCTTAATACTGTAAATGAGGTCATTGCGCAGCTCCCAAGAATTGTCTATGAAGATGTTTGGAAAAAGCACTCCTGGGAGGTCCCTCGCCACTTGATAGTGAGACATTCTGCAATGGACACGAAAGTTCCTTTTTGGTGCAGGGACAGTCACAGGTTTTATAACATGGGTGACAGAATTAGTTTGACACAGTGCGAAGGAGATGGTGTCTAATTTCTCTGTGACAAAAGTCAAGTATTTCATTTGCTTAATCTCCGAAGAAAAAGCCACTCATTTATTTTTTGACTTAAAAAAAAAAAACACCTAAAATGTAAGTTTTAGAGAGAATATTTTCCAGCAGGTAGCAGAAAACAGCATAGGCTGGTTTAAGCCAGCCTTCAAGCACAATGATTTATTTGAGCTGAGCAGTTTTCCATATAATCATGCTTAATATACATTTTTTGGTTGTTGAGATACTACTGCCGGATGAACATGTATACATTTCCAAATTCAAATAGAAAAACTATAAAATATGATTCAAGCCATATGTTTTCTTTCTTTCCTTTAAAAAATTACGTACATAAAATAAATTGGCGCATAGATTCATAGAGGCCTGTATACATTTTATTCAAAGATATTTTTAAAGAGCCAGGTGACGCCTGAAACAAGGCTTTTGTAACACTCCCAAGAGATCCAGGTGACCTTAGTATTCTGCTCCACCAGCCGTGAGGCTGGAAACCTTGGGCAATCCAGCTGGTTCCAGTATGATTTCAGTGCTGGCAGACCCAATTAGGGACATTTCTCCATCTGCTGGTGAGGTTGCTGGTCTAGTTATCACGGATCATAATGTACAGGGTGCACGTGAAGTGGAGAAAACCACTGGAAACCTTGCCTGCTGCCCCACCCAGTCGTGATGCATCAGTTCAGTATGGAAAACATGTTAAAATATTGAGTCTGACCCCAATTCAGAATTCTCAACCCCCCTCCTCTACAAACACATTTATGCCATCGTTACCATTATCATCATCGTCGTCGTCGTCAACTTCACGGTCAACGTCATCATCCTTACCGTCTACTGCGCGCCAGGATCTTCCAGGTCTCGCCACGTCTTACACCAATTAGGTCTCCAAGCCACACTGTGAATTAAATATCCCCAGAACAGCGAAGAAGAAACTGACATCTAGAGGAAGCCTTTTGTATTGGACGGTCTTGAATAAGATGGAGACATCGTTGCTCTTTTCATGCAAATTCGCTTTGTTTGATGTTTCCACTCGTTTTTTTAAACAGGCACGGCAAGTGCCTTCCACACACACATACCAGTCACAGCGTGGACAGGTAGTCAGAGGTCTTCCTGTATAATCCACTGATCTGGGTTAAAATCCCAGCTCTGAGGGGCACCTGCGTGGCTCAGTTGGTTCAGCATGTGACTTCAGCTCAGGTCATGGTCTCACGGTTTGTGGGTTCAAGCCCCCCGCACTGGGCTCTGTGCTGGCAACTGGGAGCTTGGAGCATGCTTCAGATTCTGTGTCTTCTTCTCTCTGCCCTTCCCTGCTCACAGTCTGTCTGTCTCTCTCCCTCTCAAAAAGAAACATTAAAAAAAAAGAAAAAAAATCCCCAGCGCTGATACTTACCTACTGACTGATTGACTTTGGGCATGTGGCTGTTAACTTCTTTGAGTTTCATATTTCCCATTTAAAGATGAGAAAACTCAGACCTTCTTAATACTAAACATAACAGTGCCTCAAACAGGATAGGTCTCAGTAAAGCAGTTTGGTTGTTATTTGACTTTCTTGTGAGTGAAGATCCACAGTTCTCTCTGAGAAGAAAGAGAGACGGTCATTGACAAGAACTTTTACAAACACAACTACTTTTTATTCACTTGCTTAAAAACAATGGACAGGCCTCCGAATGGTAACTCTGAAGGAGCTAAGGGAAAAATTATCAGTCTGGTGCCATTAGGATGTCTCCATTCTTTTTTTTTTTTTTTAACTTTTTTTTTCAACGTTTATTTATTTTGGGGACAGAGAGAGACAGAGCATGAACGGGGGAGGGGCAGAGAGAGAGGGAGACACAGAATCGGAAACAGGCTCCAGGCTCCGAGCCATCCGCCCAGAGCCCGACGCGGGGCTTGAACTGCCGGACTGCGAGATCGTGACCTGGCTGAAGTCGGACGCTTAACCGACTGCGCCACCCAGGCGCCCCAGGATGTCTCCATTCAAAAGAAGCCAGAAGGCAACTGCTCTGACACGTCCCCTGGGTTAGAGGGTAATTCTGCTTCTCAGTAACCCACTCATTCCCCAGAGCCCATTTACAAAACCCGAGGCCCGACCGGGCTGCTGCCCCAGGAATCTTCCCATTTCTGGAAAATGGGGATGGACATCATCAAAATTCATCTCCCCAGAGGGAAGAAGCCCAGTGGTAGGTCTTTTGCCTTTTAAAGTGAAACAAAACAAAACAAAACAAAACATACTTTTACTATTGGCGAATACGTTTTTGCCAGTTTGCACTTGGGAAGGCATACATACATAAATAGGGAGTTTCCTTTTCCCTGAATAATTAGGAGAAAAACATGTAGCTTTCGGTCAGGGCACATGTGCTTCAGTTTTCCAGTTGTGTATTTAAAGGGAAAGTTGTCGGAAGGAAGCCACTCCCTTTGTGCACCCGCTCTGTGCCAGAATCCTTATTCGCTGTGATACATCGAAACGTTGCACACGATCCTCTATAAAAGCTATTATTATTTCCATATGGTAACAACAACAGTTTTATTTGGCATTCGTAATCATTTTATTTGCAAATAAATGTGTTTGTGTGTATTTTTAATTCAGACCTGCACTCACAAGGCATTTGATATGGCTCATCCCTGATTTCCAAGATGGGGAGACTCGAAAATGTTAAACGCCTTGCCTTATCGGATGGTACCTGCCCAGGGACACAGAAGGCTAAGTGTTACAGCCGGGACTTTTGGGGTCCAAGATCCATTCTCCTCCCCACTGTGTACCACTTCCTTATCAGTGAACGTCTAAGCTGCTCAGATTTCTGTTTCTTTAATCCAGAAAGCACGCTGGCAGAGCTAAGGAAATTGTTTGATCTGTTGTAAGCGTTACTCGCACATTAATACCAGGCCTCGCAAGCAGGATTTATTTTGATCGCTGGGCTCACCAGGACATTTGAGGAATGGAATGTTGGGTTGAGCGTCGGTTAAGGAGACCAGAATAGAACCTGGTGCTTCAGAGCTGGATGGGGCTTTGAGGACTGACAGGTCCAGGGCATTTAACCTTGGGTGATTTCTAATGGCCACATGACTCCTTTGCAGGTAAGCAGGCTTAACACAAACGGGGGGTTGAAATGTGTGTCATTGGGCTTGCCTGCCTGCCTGCCTGCCTGCCATGGACCATAAGAAGAGTTTCTGCCCCTTCCACCCGGGCCCCAGCAGAATTATATATGGAGCAGAACAGAGCCCGAGCCATAACAAGGCAGGAAGCATAGCCCAACTGGATCCACTGCCTGAAGGAGAACAGCCCAGCTGACCCCAAACCGACCCTCAGTGGAACTGCAGACACAAAAGAAATAAATGCTTTATTGCAGCCTCCACGATTTTGTGGCCATTGTTCTGCAGCGGAGGAAGACCGGCAGAGCCCCTGAATATATCTTTTGATGGCAAAGTAGTAAAGCCATAAAATGGGGAACCATAGCCGAGTCTAATGTTTGTAAATCTAAGGATTTAAAGATAAATTAAAAAAAACACAAAGGTTTCCAGAATACCTGCTTGGTACTGTTCTGCAGAAATTAAACCTCCTTCAAAACAAGGCTTAGAAAGTACGGACGCTACGTGAAGAGGTGGACGGAGGGCTAAGAATCGCCGTCGTCCGTTATTATGATGTCGTTCCTTCGAGCACTGAAAAGACAAACAAACAAACAAAAAGAGCTCTCGTTTGTTCATTAATCTATTCAACAAACTGCTATTAAGCGTCCGAGGCAGCAGGTAGTGGGGTTTTTCAGGATGAGCAGCCCAGGTGCCAAAGTGAGCTCTCAGCTTAAACGAGAGACAGGTTCACACAAACAATAGGTGTACAGTGCGAGAAGAGGCTAGAAGGGACATGTGAACAGTGTAGATTGTGAAGAAGGCTTTTAAATAACAATAGCTGAAAAGGATTGTGTATTGATGGCAAATCCAGAGCTGATCTGTGCGCTTTGTATCAACTGGCCCATTTCATCTTCAAAACCCTCTGAAATGAAATAGAAATCGCTAATACTGTTTCCATTTCACAGACAAGAAAACGGAGCTCCACACAGGTTGAATCACCCGTCCTGGGTCAGGTACCACGTAATGAGAGTGTGCTTTATTTGAGCTGGCGCAGGGCGACTCCAGACCCCCCAGCCTCCTGACCAGTACACCACAACTAGAGATTAGGTTATACCTGAGCCGATGACACATGGAGAGGGCCGCAGTCATTAGCCAGGCTATTGGGGTACCGCCTTGTAGACAGAGCTAGCTGGCCAGACTCCACATCCACAGGGCTATGTAACCCTGGCTCGATTCGTATGGACGTCGGTATTTATAGAAACCCAAAGCTCTCTCTTCTTGGGGATCGAGCTAAATGGACCAGCAGCCCGTCTCTCCTTCTTAGTCACAGATAACTCTGACTCACACATTTTCCGTTCCTCACCTTCTCTTTACCCTAGGAACCCGCAATGGCCACGTGAATGGGCAGCCAGCATCCTTACTCGGAGCTCTGGGTGTCAACTCCAACAGCTCTTACCTCTAGTCCATTCAATACTCTAGGATGACCTTAACTTTGACTTTTTCGCTATCAGAAACCGTGCTACCCGTTAAACCTTAACCATCTCATTCTCTGACCACAAACTCTGGTTCTTATAGCTCTCTAGATCTCTCCGGCTTCCATTCAATCTGCACACAATACCATGGCCCTCCGCACCTCAATTTCTTAATTTCTTCTCTTCGGTCCCAAATTTCGTTTCTTGCTCTCCTACGTAGCCTGACTAATGAGGTGTATTTCTTCGGTAACAAGTTCATCACCTTGTCTCCCCACAATACCCGCCCAACGTATCTAAGTCAGTGAATCACTGCTGGACCGTTGTGTCTGACTCCAGACTTGTGACTTTTAAACCCAACTAGATTTTGGACCATTCAAGGGGAGATAAAGGTGCACTGAGTTCTCTCTCTCTTCTTGGTAGCAGTTATTCCAAAGTTTTCGGTGTGCCACATGTGTGGCCTTGTTCTTGACTGCCTTGTAGCAAATGATCTCATCTGGTACTCTTTGGGGAAAATAGGAGACTTCAGGCTTGAACTCTTTAACTGCCTGTTCTTATACCTACAAAACCCATTCCTTTCATTTTCACCCCGAAGAAAGAGGAACTTCTACCTCTGTCCAAAGCTCATCTTCCATTTTCACGTTGGAGTCTATGTTTTTGGATCTTTTTTGAAAACTCATGCCATCAATGATCTTGGCCCTGTCCTTTACCCTGAACATTTTTTTTTTCTCTTTGTTGGGTCTTTTCTTTCCAACGTAGACATGTACTAATGTTATGGCTATACTTTAAAACATAATGTAAATAAAACCTTATTTTACCCTATGATACCTTCAAGAAATAAGTACGCATTCTCTTCCCCTTCGTACTCGGACCTCTTAGAAAAGAAGTCAACCTTTGCTCTGTTCTTCAGTCCATGACCCACTAAATCAAGCCAAGTTATCACATCACTACCCTGCAACTGCTCTGACCAAGTCACCCAAGACTTTTGAAGGCAAATACACAGAGTACTTTTCAATTCTGTTTTGACCGCTCACTGGTTCTCAAACCGCCACCCACTTCTTCTCCTAGGCTACCATGACAGGGCACCTCTTTGTTTAGCCTCCTGACTCTTTCCTGATTCTTCTTTCTCCTTCTGCTTCTTAGAGTCCTCATCATTTTTATTCTCATTAAAAAAAAAAAAAAAAGTGTTGATTTTGCTCACCCCCTCCTCCTCCTCCTTTCTTCTCCTTCCCCTTCCCCCTCCCTTTCTCCTCCCCTTCTCTACTTTATATTCTACTTTAGAGCTTCAACTCCTTGGAGTCATCATGCTGATGACGTTTTTTCCCTTTCTTTTAGCATCTATAGTGCAGTAACTAAGAATGCAGACTCAGGCGTCAAATTATTGTATTTACGTTACGGCTCAACTCCTCCAGAGCCCGGCAACCATGGGGAAGTCACTTCTCTATTTTACTTTTTAATCATTTTAAACAGATGTAATTTGTTTGTTTCAAAAATTACGTGAGTTAAAATATGTAAAGCACTTAGAAATTTCTGGAACATAACTACACATCAAGTAAGTTGTAGCTATTATTAAATAACTGTCCAGAAATCCAATTCTATATTCAAAAACCACTTGCTGCCCCCCAGATGTCCCGTAAGTACCTCAAAATCTTATCCAAAGCTCAACTCATCACGTATTTTTACCACAAAATCTCTCCCCGTGGCTACTTGGTCTGAAAGCTTCGCGTCACTGTTTTCAGAGAAGAAACCGGGTCTTGTTGTTTGCTGAGATTTTTCTCTCAATCTTCCTCTCCATCTTCCAATGGTTACCAAGTCCTATTATTTCTACTATTACATTTCTCTCCAGTCTGCCTCTTACCTTGCCCCCTACTACCATTGTGTAATGCAGGTTCACACCTTCGATGTGTGTGTTGTGTATGTTGGAGGAGTAGAGGTCTGGACCATTACAACTAATATCCCTTGACCGGGTCCATTCTTCTATGCATTATTCCCTTGGCACTCAAGGTATGCTTTTATTTATTTATCTTTAATTTTTTAATTTTTTAAATGTTTTATTTATTTTTGAGAGACAGAGAGAGAGAGAGAGAGAGAGAGAGAGAGAACACATGAGCAGGGGAGGGGCAGAGAGAGGGAGACAGATGATCCAAAGCAGGCTTTGGGCCGACAGCCCCAATGGTGGGCTCGAACTCACGAACTGTGTGATCACGACCCGAGCTGAAGTCGGATGTTCAACCGACTGAGCCACCCAGGCACCCATCAAGATATTCTTTTAAAACAACAAACACATTCATGTTACTCCTCTGCTTCAATTCCTTCAAGAGCTCTTCATCAACATCAATGTGATGCCCATACATTCGAAGCCCCCACCTTGATATAAACACTGGTGTCCACCTTTCCAGCTTAAACTCCTACCGAGTCCCCAATGTGCTCCACAATGCAGCAAAACCCTACCACTTGCATAGCGTTATTTGGGTTATTTTTCAAATCCCTTTTTTCCCCACATACAACGTAGGCCGTAAGTGGTATAATCGGAAGCTTCTAAGACCCAGCCTCAACTACAGAGCTCTAAACATGCAAGACAAAAAAATAGATTCAGATAAAAGGAAAGCCTGGATGTATTAAAACAGTCGGGAGAATTAAATCATCTAATTACCTAAGGCTAAAATTCTTTCTGCATTCTTGTAATCTTTTCACCCAATTTCCCCCATTTAGCAGAGAACTTTTTTTTTGAAGATGAATCCTCATTCGCCTCCCCACCTCATTTTAGAGCTTGATTCACATTCATTACTGTATTTGGCAATTCCTTCCCCAAAGCTCTGCTTAAAATACATTGAGTGTGGACATTGCGATAGTTATCTTCATTTTTTTTTAAGTCACAAACAGACTGATTAAAAAAAAAAACAATGAACGATATTATCAGTGCAATCCTCTAATTTTCCTGTGTGTGTGTGTGTGTGTGTGTGTGTGTGAGTTTGCCTTTACTAACTTTTAAAGCTATATACATTTATCACATTTGTAATAAGAAAAAAAACAATGTCTAAAAATGAAACAATTACCAAGCAGTCGACAACTTATAATATGTAATGGAATCTACACGCACGTTCTCTGAGCATAAAACACTTGGAGTTAAGTGCTAACTGAATGTAAATGTGGAGACACCTGCTAGTTAAATGGGTACCTTAATACAGACCTCCTGGGGATTTGCTATATTCTTGCCAGATGTAACTTTCAGATTTTCCCTCCAGCCTAGATAGCACCACCATTGATGAAACACATAGAAGAATCAGCCATATGACTCTGGAGCTCTCTCAGTATCAGTGTTGATAGAATTACGTTGGAACTTCACTCTCTGTAACAAGATTTGAGGAATCTTCCCACATCTCCGTGTGCATGGTTGTTTTAAGTTTTTCATTTTTGGCTTCAAGCACGCAGGCTTTCTCCGTCTTTTCTTTTCCCAACAAGTTCCCTGGCTCTCTATTTATCTCTACAAATGCTACCGCTTTGTTTATGGTATAGGTGACAAGACACAAACCAGGGATTGGGAAGAGTAAGTGGGATGGGGGTGACTCGAAGTTGCCTTCCAGGAAATGTGCTGTAACTAACATTTGCATCGGGCATTTGGTAGCCCCCTCATCTTGTGCTATGTGTGAATTCCAGTCGGGTGATTCATCCTGACATGGGAGTTCTTTGCTGCTTCTATTCGGCAAAAATGTGAGAATGAGGGGAGAAGTTTCTCATTCCTTCTGACTTCTCTAGGCAATCTTTATTTGTTCCCATAGCCGTGAAAGAGATTTTCCGATGAGAAATGTTGCAGTTATGACATAACAATTCCATGTTTCACAACCCAACTGCTCTCCTTGTTACGCTTCCCACCCTTATTTCTCACAATTCAAAGTAAATTGTGAGATTACTAGTACAATTAAGGCTCTGGAAAGAGGAAAACTGTGTATTATGGCCTTGATAACCCTTTATGGAGAGCAAGTCACAACTCTGCCACAAATTCCAATTTTAGAGTGGGGTTCAACAATAGTAGCGACGAGAAGAAACACAGGAAAGCAGATACGTGTTTTAAAATCATCTTGACCAGAAATGTTTATCTAGACACGTTAGGCTCCTGCAAGA